TTAAGCAGGACTCAGACGCGCCCCTGCGAATCTCCACCAGGCTTCATACTGCTTACAAGAGGAGTTTGCTCGCCTCCATCAGATCCCGCCCTGGTCAATCAAAGGCGCTAACCGAACAGATGCCAAACGGCTGTCGACCTGGGGGAACATGGCACCCGGCGACATGTCTCCCCTTGTATACATCAGCACTGAATCAACTAAAGCCTTTATCCCCTTATCGAAGCCCTTCTGGTATCGACGGACTACCTGTGGTAGCCCCCGGAATATGCGTGTGCTGTAGCCAAACGCCGCAGGATCCTCCACATCTATTAGTGGCACAATGCACCTGACACTCGTTTCGCGCGCTGGATCCCAGATTGGCACTGCTGCGCCGTCCTCCAAGCAAAGAAAGTGAACTAGGTAGCATGTTTTCTGTCGTTTTAACCGTTTTATACCTATCGCCAAAATTTGTTTTTTATCGAGGCTCTCGCTCGCACGCGGAACTATATCTCTTCATTTCCTCTACTAGACACATCGCGATGCCCTCGTCTTCAGTCCTGACAACGCGGTGATTTCCAGTCCTGATGACGTCATGATCTCCAATCCTGATGACGTGATGATATCCAGTCCTGAAAGCAGGCTGGTCGGACCCGGTGAACGGGGCCACTGTTTTTGCCGACTTCTTCGCCTTCGCCTTTTTGGTGGTTTCTTCGTCCGCCTTCAACCACATCTCGCAACTTGAGATGTTTGCCGTACTCCGGCCATGCCAGCTATCATTCGACTCTTCCGAGGCATGTAACGTCCCTTTTACATTGTTGAAACTTCACACAGCCATATCCTCCAGCGGTCACATCTCCGTTGCACCGGACTGTATTTGTTGATGTCTTAGTCATCTCTTTCGAAAGATTCCTCTTTTTTCGTCACCGACAAAATTATCAACTGCTTTAACGCAGTTCGGATACAGTGATACCGCTCTGAAGATGCAGTGATATTGTTCTTCTTCAGCGTTCCTGTTCTCAGACCCAGAAAGCCCATTAATCTATCATGCAGCTGTGGACCGATGATGTAAACAAACTGTGCCTTCAAACTTTTTGTGAACGTGTTCAATGTACGTACCCGACACTTTCTGGAAAATCTGTATCAAATCCTTGATCTATGTCAAAGTGGGTTAAGGAAAAGCCAGTCTCATGCTGACAGGATCCGCTGTCTTACCAGCTTCAAGCAACGCGGCTTTGCTGCTAGATTTCAATCAGTAACTGCCTTTCTGGATTTGGCGGTTGCGCATGTAATTGTAAGCTGAACGACTCCTGTTTTAGACCCATAGCAGTGGGCTTCAAAGTAATCTCACAGAGGTTCTCAAATTTGTCCTCCACCCCCGTCATTACAAATTAGATGCCATTCTCGTGCCTTGCTCCTTCTCGTGTTTAGCCACATGGTGTGTCCCAAGTCAGTGGGATTTCTCCCTCATTATTCATGCATAGGATTTATCAGACGGGTCTACGATTGTCTTGATGCCCTGCTCCCATCTAAAAGTTCCTCACTCAATTTGGACACGCCATCTCGATCGCGAACGATATAGCCCTATCGTGCACGCACCTCTCCATGGGGCGAGCCCCAAAGGTACCCAAGAGGCCCTCGACGATATCAATGCCTTGCCAATACGTCGTTTCCGCCCTCAACTGCAGGATGACGCAGATAGCGTGGATTAAAGCAATTCCGGCTCAGCTGATATTTGGGCCTTCATTTCGGAGATTTCGACCGAGCAGTCGTCGTGCGAAGGTAACAAAAAACGTCAGCTGACATGGCGATTGATGAAGCTGCCATGATCTCAAGTCCAATTGTAATAGAGATCAAGCCAGATCAAGATCTGGAAATATATAGCTTCTTGCAAATACAACTTTGCCAAATGAACGTCATTTGTTTTCTGTAAACCATTTAGTCCAAAATGGTTATGGAACAAATACTATCTTGCCAAGGGCAAATAGAACAAAACGTTAGTTGGGAGGTCATCTGAATTAGTGCCACAATTAGAAGATCTGTCTGTTGTGCAAAGCATGATCCTATAAGTTTGCATGCATGAATTTTGGCAGATGGAGCTTTCTCAAATTGCTACAATTTTCTGTAGGCCGGTTATTCCCAAAACGGTTATCCGAAGAATGCCGGGTGGCAAAGGTCGTTCAGTAGCGACTGGTGAAGCCCATGCTCGGCTTTCTATTCACCTTTCTCAAAATAATCTCCCACTAGCTCCACATGAAAGAATCGTTCAATGCCTTGCCTTCAAACATCATTCAACGGCGGCAAAGTTCCATAGCGCAGTTTACGTACTGTCTTCGGCACCACCGCCAACTACTGTCTCCGGTTTGTAATCCGCGTCCATCGCATCAAAAGAAAGACCGCAGAACGCACCAGCACTCTCCGTCCCGTCTCTCACGCGTCTTAGGAGATGATCAAGATACCCGTGTTCTTTACATATACACTGGTTTGATTCTATCAGATCACGAGTGTTGCCCATTTATATTTACTCAGATAAATGGTGTTCCAGTTGTGCGACGTGTGTGAATAAGATGGCGTAACGACCGTATTTGCCTTATAGCTTTAAGGGCAAAACTGGCATTTTATCTGGACACCAGTACATACTCCGAAATCACAATTTTGAATCGTGTTGAGCTCCTTCCTATTAGGGAAGTTCAACACGATTCAAAATGATTCTTCGATCGGCTGACGTGGCGTGGCGCGATCGACCCAGCGATCGTTCTCAGCATTCAACCCAGCGATCGTTCTCAATAGAACTGATCAACTTCCGGACCTGACCTCGCTTTCATCAGCACTGCCTTGAAGCATGATTCTCGAATTTGGTCCGTTCCTTACCACTCCCCGGGGAGCTGTTTTACTCTTCGACCAACCGAGCTGTGCTCAGGAGCCCGCCGTGCTGAAGGCGGATTCCAAATATTCCACCATTCCAGACGGTATTTGGATTCGGCGAATATTTGAGCGCGAAAATGAGCATTGGAGTATTCATAAACATTTGAGGACCGACCAGAAAAGTACAACATGTTTATCAAGTACTCATCAGAATACCTGGTGTCTAACTCTGGTTCGGCTCACCAGAGTTAGTAGACCAACTCTGGTATGCCTGTGGTAGAAGTCAAGGGATCGAGCCCCTATGGCTTGTTATTTGTTGTCTTCGTTTATGCTCCAGATGGTTTACTTATGATCATGGCATCACTTGTTACTTGTTAGCATGTTACTTGGAGTCAGTTTTGTTGTTTAGACAATACGGTGCTTAATGTTTCATTTACTGCACTCGTTTTGACTAAGTGCTGCGAGTCTGCTCCGGCTTGAGTGAAAGCGGGAGTGATCTGCACCGCACAGCTCGTATAGCTTGAGCGTAGCGGACTCCCGCAAGATTGCGGTTAGAGCAACAATCTGCAAGGTACTTGCAAAATACTCCTGCGTTAAGATCAAAGGATTTACCACGTGCAATATGCCTTGGTATCCAAATAAAAATGTCAATTTTCCCGTGAACTGGAAGACAAGCACTGTCCTTAAGACCGTCTTATTCAGACGCGTCGCAAGAAAATGACTGATTGTCCGTGCCGATTTCCGACGCTGGTCTTTGTTCTTGATCCAATATCCTCCCAACGCCCAACGGAATCGGAAAATTCGGGTGCCATGTCATGGCTGGCATGCAGTCATCGGGGTGCGTAACTGTTACCTGACGTACAGGTTCAGAGCATTATCATGCAGTATTCGGGTGCCACGTCATGGCTGGCATGCAGTCATCGGGGTGCGTAACTGTTACCTGACGTACAGGTTCAGAGCATTATCATGCAGTATTCGGATGGTCCCGTGCTCTCTAGTGCCGAATTTCATTCCAAACGGGCTACGTGCAGCCGCAAAGCTCCTTGCAACATAGCATTGCGTCTCCGGAATATATGTATATTCGTGACAGTTTTTTATAAATGTGGTCCAAAACCCTTGAATGGACGGATTTCTGTGATCAGCGCTAACGCTAAGTAGTGCTTGGGTGAACCTTGACCCCCACCATCCGATCGCGCGACCCCGGGCAACGGCAGAATTAAGTGGCGAAAGCTTAGCGTGCCGCAATGCTCGGCACGGTCCGTCCTGCCCTTTGACGTCAACCTTCAGCGGGACCGCTGCCACCGGCCGCAGGCCATACCTGTCAAGGGCAAATTTCTTACATTTATGTTATTATCACAGATGTTCTGTCTTTCACGCACGAAATTGAGCGGTCACTTGATTGGATATAGCCGGCATAGGATTAAGCGGTCAGTGGCCTGGCGTGTGTCCCAAATTTTGGAAATCCTGTTTCAGGTGCGAATGGTTTTATTAGAGATGCCCGCTTGGGCTCACATCATCAATGTGTATTTTATTTGCAGATTGATGCACACACCGGTAGCATCTTCAATACCAATAAAAACACAGCATAACCAGAATGTGTCTCCTAAAACCCATTGTATGAACATGCCGGGGCAGCATGCTTCCCGAAAAAAAAAATGATCTAGGTGTCCCATGTCAGGCAACTAACCGGTTTTGTAGCTTAGGATAACCATGAGGTGAGATGTTCTTGTGCAGTCATCACCTGAGAACCGTGGTACATAAATGTGTCCCATGATACCATGAATGTGTCCGATGTCCCAGAAGCATTCATACCAGAACGGAATCCTTCGAAACAAACCTTGATTGCCATTACTCTCTCGGCCCGAGGCGCAAGGCGGATAGGTGCTTTGGAGGATGCGCGATAAGTCTGCGAAAGCAGCGTGTTCTACAACCAAAACAATCTTTCTTGTTGATCGCAAACACCTAACTTCGATAGATTCTAAAATCGGATAGATTGTTTCATTCGTGTGTATTCGTGTGTGTAAGGCTCAAGTGCATTTGGCCCTCCTTACCTGCAATGCTGGGCGGTTCAAGTGCCCCAAGTTCGGGCGCCTCATTGTATGTGGGGATTGAGGCCCGAAACGTTGGCTTCTTCTCTCTTCAGCCCAATAAGACTGTCGTAAGCATACATATCTGTATTGACTGATACGCAGTTCGGGGTTTGAAACAACCTATATTGCACAGATGAAATTACCGACACACATGCTGAAAGTGTACGGTGATACATGTAGGTGTAATCGCTAGGGGAGGGTCAAACTTGACACAAAGCCGTCAGACTTTAATGCAAGGTTTTGAACAGGCTAAATAATATCTGCGTTTATATAATCCATGGATGCACGATAAACAGCTAAAGATCATTAGAACAACGATATGATATTTCGCTCTTTGCCTCAACCATGGCACAACAAAACCACAAATCTCATTTAAGACGTCTTGCAAAGTACCTCCTTTGTGTCTTATTGCACACTGTAAGGAAATACGCTATGTCACGAAAAAAAAACTGCTGAAATAACCCGCGCTAAAACGAAAAAGTGGTGTCGTTTCCCTTCAGATGGCGGAGACGTTTGCGCGTGGAAGTGTGCAAAACTGCAGCCGCTTGGCTGAGGACTATGCCTACCCTGACTTTTGCTTACCGTTTCCTATGCTATCTTTCTTCGGCGATATCCGTTCTGTTTCCACATCCATTTGCCTAATCGACATGTTCTCTGCTTCGCGACATCAACACCCGTTCTGCCTTTCCTCTCTTCCCACCACTACGCCGCCTGAATGACCGCAGTTCTTCTCCGCTTCGCTCAGGCAACACCGGCCGCTTTGTCCGGCCAGCGCTCGCGCAGCTCCACGGCGCCGCCGCGCCGCCGCTCACTGCTTCCGCAGCCGCGAGGCGAAGGCTGGGTACGTCTTCGCGAACTTGCGGCGGAGCGCCTCGCCGGCGTTGACGGCCGCGAAGCGCGGGTCTCCGTCCAGCGGGCGCACTAGGACGTCATCGTCGGGCTCGACGAACATGGCGATGGACTGTCGGGCGCGACGGCGCAGCGCCTCCTCCTTCGGGATGACGACGCGGTGCTTGGTGGCGCGCAGGCGGCCCGAGGACCACGTCTCCATCAGGTCACCGACGTTGACGAGGATCGTGTCGGGCACGGGCGGGGCCGGCGTCCAGACGCCGTCGGCCGTCTCCACCTGCCGAGTGTGGGGGGGGGGGGGGGCACGGTCAGCTTGGGTGGTGACGGGGTCGTGTGGGCGTCGACGTGGTGGCTCACCGGGGTAGTTTGGGGTCACCTGTGTGGTGTTGGGCTCACCAGGGTAGTTTGGGGTCATCTGTGTGGCATCGGGCCCACCAGGATAGCACAAGGGCGTCGTGATGGTGACACTGGCGACAGGGCTTTTTCTGTGTGACAAAGTTAGCGAAAGAGCTACCATGGCAATGTGGGGACACCAGTGTTGCAAGGGTCGTTCCAGAGCGCGCGTGACACCGTAAGGGTTAAGGACAAGAGTTGACCCGGAGGATCTGATTGGGAGGGAGATGGCAGCCTGGTGCAAGGGTGGCATCAGGTAGGCTGAGAGAGAGAGAGAGAGAGAGAGAGAGAGAGAGAGAGAGAGAGAGATAGAGAGAGAGAGAGAGAGAGAGAGAAAAGAAGAGAGAGAGAGAGAAAAAAAAGGAGGAGAGAGAGAGGGGGAGAGAGAGGAAAAGGAGGGAAGAGAGGGAGAGAGAGAGCCGCATCTGTGCGAGACAGCAATCTTGCTCCTTCCGTGTCTTGTCATGCTCATAAACCTTTCACTGAAAATAAGCCAGAGAAGATCATGTGTACAGTGGCTGCGACAATGGCTTGAGGTTTGCTAGTCTAAATTGGCTTGTGAGTTTAAAAATCTTTCGATGAAGTGTGTGTGTGGGTGTGTGGTGTTGTGTGTGTGTGTGTGTGTGTGTGTGTGTGTGTGTGTGTGTGTGTGTGTGTGTGTGTGTGTGTGTGTGTGGTGTGTGTGTGTGTGTGTGTGTGTGTGGGTGTGTGTGGTGTGTGTTGTGTGTGTGTGTGTGTGTGTGTGTGTGTGTGTGTGTGTGTGTGTGTGTGTGTGTGTGTGTGTGTGTGTGTGTGTGTGTGTGTGTGTGTGTGTGTGTGTGTGTGTGTGTGTGTGTGTGTGTGTGTGTGTGTGTGTGCTCTGTTACATTGATCCTGACTTGGTCCCGTATGGCGGCGTGGTAGGTATGAACCTACAGATTGATCTTGTATGCCATTTGGTTACACAACAGAGCTAATGAAGCTTCCTTCTGATCATGCACAATCTCCAGAAGGCTCATTCATCATCAGCACAATAAACTGCAGAGCTGTGGCCTTGCATCAATGTTGACTCCGACCACATGTCCAATTGCGATGGCAGTCGTGCAGGTATTGCACTTGGCCTGAATGCATTGTTAATGACGCCCCTGACGAAATCCCACACATTTCACGCCTTTATCCCACGCACGGCGGTCCATCGCGGCACCAACAGCAGCTGCAGTATTTCCACCTGAGTTGATGACCACACAAACGACCACACTTCCCGCCCGGCCTGCACTGCCAGACCACTCTCACAATGACGAAGCCGGTCATAATTCGCGTCCGATGGCCGCCGGAGTGCCGTTAGAGGCTCGTGACACGGGCGGGGCGCCCTCCCACCGCCCCGGACCGCTGCCCGGTGATAACTCGGGATCAGCTCGTGGCGGGCGCTCTCCCGGGCCTCTCCGGGGGAGGCCCTCGCGCGGGGGTCGTCCGGAGACCTCGGAGCGGCGCGATCGGTGTGCAGTGGAGGGTCTGCAGTCGTGCCGCCGGCAGGGACACGTGAATATGGCCATGGACGTTCAAATATTCAAGCTCTTTTTATGTATATTGCAGAGGTACTTCCACCCCGTTGTAGCCCGAGTGCTTCTGTTGGTACCTGTCTGATGTGACATGTGGCGGGGTAGGTCAGAAACGACGCCACATCAGCGGTGTGGGCAGTTTCACTCGTTAACAGCCTGACCAAGTATGCCCAAGACACCGCCAGCGCACGTCACGCCCAAAAGGGTGACCATAGCCGGGCAAGTCCGATGAGCCACATAGGGCCGCTCGTGAAGCCTGTCTTGGCCACAAATGGCGGCCGTAATAACATTGCCACTCACCGCCACTAACCACTAACTTTGCACATTGCCACATTGACACTGACATTGCTACATCACTTTTTTTTCTTTTTTGTGCCATTGGCATGTGGGGCTGTTATTTTTGGCCATTACAGTGCCATGTTTCTAAAAATTATTAAAATGTCCTCACTACTGTCCATCCTCCACCCCACCCCACCCCATCCCCCTTCCCGCCCCCTTCCAATCGCTGGTGCCGTCTGTGCCGTGCAGCCTCGCCGCGGGTCGCCCGGAGGCCGGGGCACGGCTCGAGTAAATCAGCCGGGCTGGTCACATGTCGCCACGGCCGATCGCTGCAGATAGCGCTGAGGGGCTGTCAACCCCCGCCGAGGGACGAGGTCGCCGCCCCACCCCGTGATGCAAGGCCTGGCGCGGAGAGGTGGACAGGCTCGGGCCGTCGCAGACGGCGTGCGAACCGCTGCTTTTTGCAGCCGAATAACTGACTCTCTGTCAGGATGACCTGATCGCCACCGAGCTTGTGTAAGCTGCGCTGCAGTTAGTGGTGTAGTCGGTTATATCTTCCACGCAATTGCGGATCCTTTGCGGATCATCAAGGTCATGAAAGCTGCCAAACGCTCTGGATGGGGCATCATGTCTTTCGGTCCGCAAGCTCAACGAGAACATGTGGCAAATGGGTTATTCTGTTCAACATGGCGTCCCTTCGCTTCGGGGGCATGATGTGTGTGCGTGATATCGATAGCATCGTCATAATGATAACAATTTAGTCGGAAGACGGCCACGTAGTCTGAGGACGGTCACGTCGCCTAAAGACGGCCACGTAGTCTAAAGACTTAGAGTTGCACGCAGCTCTCGAAATGCGGGCGTTTTTGTGTGAAAGTGCGTTAGGTGTCTTACCATAAACCTAAAAAACGGTGAGAATAGTGGCACTCAGTGGCACTCAGCCGCCAGCACGTCCAAAGAAGACGGAAACATTCCGAACCTAGCCCCTCTGAAACGCTTTGGACAGTCGTCAACATGTCGTTTGTGCTGTTCCATTTCTCCGGCTTAGGTAATAGTGGGTTGTTCTGTCGAAGATTCTGTGCATTACTAACAACTATAGGTCACGGCGGTCCGATGGTGAGCACTTCCTGGCGGTCATCTATGTGCAAAAGAATCTACATTGTCTAGAGTTGCAACCTGGTGTTGGGCAGAGCTGTGTCCAAAAGATTATCGAATGTCACACTCCTCTTGAACAAGCTCCGGCCAGTGTATGAAAGGCAATAACTACCAATCATTGTCCAAGGTGATGGGCAATTCTCGCCCACGACAGCCACCAGCTGTCGAGGCGTGTAACTGAACAGGCAGAAAAACTGTGTGCCTGGACAGCCCGAAACCTTAAAGGAGACATGGCATCCCTACAGTACCATCAATGTACGATTAATTATGTGTGATTAATTATGTTATGTATGATTAATTATGTCTGATGTACGATTTATGTAGCCCGATTAAGAGAATATATGTCCGAAATAGAAATAAATATCATGTTAAGAACGAACACCTCATTTCCGAACACAGCGCGGCTCCTGACCTCGAGTCCGCCGAGCTCGTCCTGGAAGAGCAGCGTCATGGTGCCGTAGTCGGTGTGTGAGGCGCAGCGCACCGCGCCCGGCGCCACGGTCGCTGGCACCGGCGGGTAGCTGAGCACGCGCAGCGCCGCGCAGCCGCCGTGGCGCAGCATCCGCCGGTGGCCGGCCGTGAGTGCGACCGGCGGCAGCGGCTCAGCGCCGCGCACCTGCTGCTCCCCAGCAGGGTGACCGTCTTCAGTCCGGAGACATTCGGCCCGCTGACTGTCCCCAGTTTGGTGATCTTCAGCGGGCCGATTGCCCCCAGTCTGGAGAAATTCGGCTCGCGGATTTTCTCCATTTTGGTGACATTCGGCTCGCTGACTCTCTCCAGATTGGTGATCATCAGCGGGCGGATTGTCTCCAGTCTGGAGGTCTCCAGCTGGCCGATCGCTCCCGGTCTGGTGACATTCGGCCCGCTGATTGTCTCCAGTTTGGTGATCTTCAGCGGGCAGATCGTCTCCAGTCTGGAGATCTTCAGCGGGCCGATTGCCCTCAGTCTGGTGACATTCGGCCCGCTGTCTGTCTCCAGTTTGGTGATCTTCAGCAGGCGGAGTATCTTCAGTCTGGTGACATTCAGTCAGCTGAGCAGTCGGCCGGTTCCCAGACAGCTGCTGGGACCTGTCTGCCGGCTGCTCCTGGACCAGCGCCTCCTGCAGCGCAGCCAGCAGTCGGTCGCTGAGCTTGCAGCAGGCCAGCGCCAGCTTCTCTAGCTGCTGGCTGAAGCCCGGCATCACGGCGTCTGGGTAATCCTAAAAGGGGCCACATGTCAACAGCAGTGGTCATTCGTCGGCAGAAGCGTTCGCCACTGAGGCTGTGGCTCGCTGGTGTTCATTCTGCAGGGTAGAGCATGAAAATAAACGTCCTCGTTACAGACTCACACACTTACGCACATTTGTGGGTACGAATGCTGGTCCACATGGCTACATGCTCACATTCAGGTCTTATGATGCACGTACAGTTGGGAAAGGCAATGCGATTCTAACTGAGCGATGAGCTTAAGCTTACGAGGTATGGATGGAATAAGTACATCGATAGGATGCCACCTTGTCAATTCCATTACTTACAACAAACTTTTCAAGTGCGGCATATGCCCATGGAACAGACCTCATCTGGTTGCAATACCAATGGATTAATACACGTCTAACATTATCAGCGACATCACGCCCCTCGAGCTTTTCGAAAAGTGTTTTATGAACTCTCCGTCAAACGCTTTCCTAGCGTTGAGGAAGCAAGTGAAAACAGTACTATTCAATGCTTTGTGAACCGATACTTTTGTGACCAGTTCGATAACACTAATAAAGCCGAACTGATTGTCATGATTTGCGAGTTGCAGCTGAGCTCGTTGAAATGGAATTAGCTCAGAACACTTTTCTCAAAACGTAGGTGAGTGTACCGTGACGTTGGTTTTCCTTGGATGCATTGCTATCCAGCTTTGTCCCGAACAATGGAAGCCAGTGCATTATTACCAACATTGCAACAGTGCAACAGTGCGACACTGTGTTCGGGACAAACCAATGCACTGGTGTTTGAGAAACATACAGAACTGCAAACAAGTGCTTGCGAGCATATCTTAAGCCCTCTGCGAAAGTTCCAAGTAGATCATTCGCTTTGTTTTCGCTAAGATCCCCTATCATTTTCTCATTCAGTTTCACCATTTGTGACTCTTACTTCCTCCGGGGACGATGAGACAGTACCTCAAGCTGACTTAAAATGTGTATGGGTACAAAATGACTATTGTGGTCGGCGCGTCCTCAAACACCAATAAACAAGAACGACTTCGAGACAGTTAAACAGGCTTTTATACTGCTATTGCCACAATTCCGCTACTGCTTGCATCCACAATTAATAGCCGTTATAATAGGGGCCATCCACAAATTACGTTATGCATGTTTTGACATTCATTTTTGCCGTTTACCCCTGCTACCCACTGTTACGCTGGACGAAGTTACATACCTCCCCCTACCTCGTTACGCTGTGTTAAATGCAACTTCCCAAAACGTAATGTTTGTTCGGCCTCAAATCGAGCTAGAGGGGCGAATTAAAGACGAGCGTATCGCTCGTCCTACGAGAAAACCAACGAGATCTGGCTTCAAGGTTTTAAAACATTTTGAAAATGGACTACCCTGGCCACACTTGAGCGTAAAGTTACGCTGTCCCCCCCCCTCCACTCTTCCACATTTCGGTTACGCTCTATCAATTCGCTCACCAATATATGCGTAACGTAATGTGTGGGCTGTCCAATAGGATTATTGTTGAAACTCAGCGCTTTTATTTCCTTCCCAAACGGTCTTGGATTACAATCAGCCAGTTTCATTGCGAGTGGAGTATTTTTCAGCCTTGCTTACGTCGCTTCGCGAACCAGATTGCGTACTTACATCCAGTTTTTTTTTTGTTTTGGTTTTATGCATTTCAAGGAGTCTTTGGAGTTGCATTCATTTGTACTTCTCGTGTGTTTCGCGACACCATATAGAAGTCTGCTACATGGAGGCTTCAACCAGGTTTATCGTTGAATTTAAACTGATCTGATGCATTTGAGCCCGTTCCCCCTGCTGGCTCCGGACATGCAAGAGTTGCGTCGTAAACAATTTGGACAGTAGTAAAATGTGTCAAAGTACTAAATCACTACAGCTTAAACTAATGCATCGAATCGATCAAACAATGTTGACCTATTTAAGCATCTGATTCAAGATGGTGTCACCCTGCTTACCATTGGTCATTTGCTTAATCGCTCCATAACATTATAAGGCGTTTTGTTTATCGCCGACAGCTGTAATCGAATCTGGCATGTAACTGGGTTTTAGCTGAGTGTTGATTGGATGTGACCTTCAGTATATAAATCATGATGTACATCGAGTTCGGCGTACAGCATAATGAAATATGTACTAGACGCTCCGTGCCCCAGCCAGGAGTCAGTCCTCTATGGAACACTAACAAATGTACGGCTGGTTTCAGGTAGCATCCCTCTAACCGGCAAGTTAATTTCCCGCGGCAATCTGCAAACGCCAGTCGCGAACACTTGCATTCCAGTCTCCGATGACATCGAAACACGAAATTTCCAGTTCGATTGACATTTCATTGACATGGTTTATGCAACGAAATGATTGTGCATTTTTTGTCATTCGTGATTAGTTCTACGTCCGGTCGCTAACTAATGTTTGAACTCGATGGATATATTTTCAAGGACCAATATACCCCGGTAAACTGTGCTTACAATGAACTGCAGCCCTCTCTGACGGGTAAGTTCGAGTCAAACATGCTGGAGTATCAGCTGGAAAAAGTCATGTCATGCCCTATGCCAGGAAAAAATTGCGCACTCTGTTCCGGCAGAACAAGTTGCACTGTCAGCCGAGGTCAGGCAAACGATTTCCCATTGTTCTTAGATAGCCATCCCGACGAACGGATCTGTAGCTCACGGTGTGTAGATGGCAGGCGCCGACAGCAAGAGTCATTTAACCCCACTGTGGCTGTCCTGTCCGCGCCGCTGTTTCGGTCTAATGCCACGGTCGCGCATAGTGTTCTGGGGCCATACGTCTTCTCGCACGAATAGCGGCGAATCTTCGCATTCGCAGGTTATGTGCTACAAACCGTAGGAATTCCGCTTTGTCTAAATAAACAGCACGTTTATATAGACATACAGACAGGTAGACATCAGGGCAACAAAGAGCCACGGGCCCATCGAGATTGGTCCACCCCAGGTTTCGCACCCATCCTTGACACTAAGTTTACCGCCTGACCTGCCTGAATTAAGCTATAAATGAGATTCTCAGACCGATAGAGCTTGTTTAAGTGATTTTTAAATGTTACTAGGGCGGGACTCCGTACAACTTACCTTGGCAGTCGGTTCTAATGATTCACTTCTCTTTGACTTAACGACACCTATCTCTTCATAGTTCTACTCCTACCTTTTGCTAATTGTAACTGATTTCCTCCAAATCTCGGCCTAATTTCCAGTGCTCCTTGTAAATCCATCATGTCTCTTCCTTTCTTGAATACTTCCATCATATCTCCTCTAAGCCTCTCTCCAGCCGATCTATTCTTTTTGGAAACATGAGGACCAAGTCTGCACTCAGTCCTCTAGGTGTGGTCTGACGTAAGGAAAGTGTAACTTGTTGGCAACAATCCTTCCCTTGTATTGGACGATTACTTTCTTCTTTGCCTTACTTTTACTTTCTTCTTTTCTCTTCCAAGTATCGCTGCGCCCACTCCTGGCGTTACATCTCTGGGAAACCCGGAGCCCAGCAAACCGGCGTATAACCGCCTCCGCAGTCGTATAACTGCCCCCGTAGTCGTATAGTGGCTAGACTGGTCTCGGTCGTCTTCCCTGTGGCAAAGCTATATGTTCTTATAGTGCACCGGCTTACTAGCGCACCTTTTGCTTTGGAAGCGTCTTGTTCTTCCGGTTCAGTCTGTCTACCTTGAAAAATGTCTTCCTCCGGCACTTTCAGCTGACTGTCATAAAAAATCGTTGAGTCGCTGAGGCCGTGTTTTCCTTGACGACTGTAGACCCCGTTTGCGGACGATGCGCGAAACATACTCGGCTAGCTGTGACTGCACTGGGCATGTCACCGCCGACGGGGACGTGTGATGGCGCCACTGCGGAGTGGCCGGTCTTCAACCGCACACAGAATGATCAATAGGCGGCGCTGCCTACCGAGGAGGAATTGGGTAGGTGGCGCTGTAAGTCAAAAACATGGCAGCACACTTATCGCATCGGATGCGGGGAATATTTCTTTTTAATGCGCTCATCTAAGCCATGAATGATTTGCCGCCACTCCTGACTTGGCTGGGCAAGCAAAATAAAACTTCGTGAACGGAATACGACCTTGTTTTGGCTTCCAATCGTGCATCAAAGACTTGGTGCCATTTGGAGCGGCGACTGTTTATCTTGATGTTAAAAGCCAATGAGGACAGCAATTCAAAGTGCAAAATGCAGAGAAAATAAAAGGCAACATACATCATGCGCATCTAGTCTACTTACTTCCGCAAATCTGGAAGAAATGTCACAGTTACACAGCGCACGTGCCTCTAGCACTCGTCATCTCCGAGACACAAGAGACGGAGCTGCGACACAACATCCGGACGAGATCTGGCAAGTGTCCAACCTCGCATTACGAGCTCCTTCTGAACATCAGATACAGCGGTGTGGTGTTACTCCATCTGGCAGTCCAGCGCTCTCTTCTGCAGCCTGGTTGAGCCATTGTGTTGACAGCGGCCGAGTACGATTCCCGGAAACACCCACCCGACCTTGATACCTCTACCCAGCGACTGGTGCTGCCTGAAGGGGTCGCATGGCTCAGTAGGTGGCTGTGAGGTGTCCCATCTCACCGCACAGCACAGCCAGTGAGGTTAAAATGCTGCGTGGCCACAGCGGTATAACAAAGTACTCAGCAGTTAGCGAAAAACGGTGCCGAATTGAAGAAAAAACGAGCTGGACCACCGTAACGGACCGATGGATGGTGGTGGTTGCGCAAGTCGTTCAAGTGTTCCCTACGGCTCTGTTGCGACCTGCTGTCGTGTTTAAATAACACCTATCATCCAGAACGCATGACTGATGTGAAATGCCCGTGATGGGACATCGCCGGGCTCACACAGCGAGTGAATCTCATAGCCCGATTCATAGCCGTACACTAATGCAATCTCAGTCGTAGTTTGTGTAACGACTTAATATGTGAATTGCTTTTCCTGGGTGTGTCTGTTCACTCGCTATCTGAAGGCAGTCACGCGTGAGCTTCCGTCGGCATACGTGCATCGCTGTCGGGGCCGTCGGTTTACACGAGAACCATACGACTCAAAGAATAATTCACATTTCATGTGAGTGCACATGAGAGCAGGTGACGCTAAAATTGTCTTCCGCAAAGCTTATTACGCCGCCACGGCATCCTGCCATGCTGCGTGAAAAACGCTCGCATACAGCATCATTCCTATCGGGATGAGGGAATCTAATCGCAAAACCACAAGTGTTGGAATATGAGGATTTAGCGTTATGTGGGCATGTGATGTTGGCGAAGGGCGGATCTGTCGAAATTCAACTTGTCTTAACTAGCACTTGCATTGTCTATTTCTAGATGCTGAATGCGTTTTGACAAGTGTGGCTGCGGTTCACCTAATCTCACAAAAATAATTTCATGTTAAATATTTCGCCATCAAGACAACATTGTTTTGTACATCGCAACACCCACATTTCTCGGCATTCTTCGGCCTTGTCCGCATTGCGGGACGTTGCGATAGCTGATATTTCTAGACGTTTCTAGACGCTCTCGTCATGGGTTTATCAGGCGTGCGTACAACTCTGCAACTGCGCACTAACGATGCCTCCAGACGACTCCAGCCAGGGCTGGGCGGGGAGAGAACCTGAGTCATTGCACATGACGCAAACTTACGCAACAAAGGCGAACCCCAGCGTGTGAGTGCAGAGGATCGCACGTGTGGATGTCCACGCATTATCCGGGGACAGATAGCGCGAGGTTGACAGGAAGAGAGCGAAACAAAGACAAAAGCGAACAGAGGGAGAGGAGAGGGGGGAGGGAGAAAAGAAAGAAAGAGAGAGGGAGAGAGGAGAGAGAGAGAGGGAGAGAGAGATGAGAGAGAGGAGAGAGAGGCGAGAGAGAGAGAGGAGAGAGAGAGAGGCGAGAGAGAGAGAGAGAGGAGAGAGAGAGCGAGAGGAGAGAGAGAGAGATGAGGAGAGGGAGAGAGAGCGAGAGAGAGAGAGGGAGAGGAAGAGTGAGAGAGGGAGAGGAGAGAGAGAGATGAGAGGGAGAGAGAGAGAGAGAGAGAGAGAGAGAGTGAGAGTGAGAGCAACAAGAGGAGGGCAGCTGGTTCCATCCAGAGGGCAGTCGGTTCCATCCAGAGGGCAGTCGGTTCCATCCAGAGGGCAGTCGGTTCCATCCAGAGGGCAAGATGAGGGCAGATTGGTTCCATCCAGAGGGCAGTCGGTTCCTCCCTGCCCGCTAATCCCGCCCGCTCGCCTGCCCGCTCTCCAGACACTCTCGCCTCTCCAGCCCCCAGCCCTACTGGCCTGCCCAGTCCATCCGCCTCCCCGTCCACGCCATTCCAGCTCACACCTCTGTCCTCTCCTGTCAGCGCCACTGCCCCACCCCTGCCAGAGCCGCGATCTGACCTTCCCCTGCCAGCGCTCCACCTCCCCCGTCTCCCAGCTCAACCGTCCCCTGCCAGATCTGTTCGCCCGCCTCACCTCGCCGAATATGTGGAAGTCGTAGCACTCCTTGAGGTCGAGCAGGTCGACATGGGCGCGCAGCCTGCCCGTGTTCTCCCCGCCAACCGGCGTGTAGCCGTTGTAGCCGGTGCGCGCGAAGCGCTCGAAGCGCAGCTTCGACGCTTCGTCCAGCGCGAAGAAGGCGCGCGCTGCGGTGAACGTGTCTGCCTGCAGGCTGAGGGGCACGCCGTGGCCGCGGAGGTAGGCGAAGCCCGTCAGGCGGAAGGCGCGAACGATGTCGGAGCCGACGGTGAGCAGCGACGCCTGGGAGGGCGTCGACGACGGCAGCGCTGCAGCAGAGGAAGAGTCAGAGGAGTGTACGGGGAGTCAGAGGACGGGGCAACGCCTGAGATGGCATCAACTACGGCAGAACCAAGGCAGATGGAGAGTCAGAGGAGTGCATGGGGAGTCAGAGGACGGGAGTGACGCCTGAGATGCCGTCAACGACGGCAGAGCCACGGTAGATGGAGAGTCAGAGGAGTGCATGGGGAGTCAGAGGACGGGAGCGACGCCTGGCGGGCCGACAATGACGACGGCGCTACAGCAGGAAAAGTCAAGGGAGTCAAGGGGAGTCAGAGGCGGGAGTGACGCCTGAGTGGGGGTCAACGACGGCAGAGTCACGGCAGATGGAGAGTCAGAGGAGTGCATGGGGAGTCAGAGGACGGGAGCGACGCCTGAGATGGCATCAACTACGGCAGAGCCAAGGCAGATGGAGAGTCAGAGGAGTGCATGGGGAGTCAGAGGACGGGAGCGACGCCTGAGATGCCGACAACGACGGCAGCGCCGCAGCGGAGGGAAAGCCAAGGGAGTCAAGGGGAGTCAGAGGGCGGGAGCGAGCCCTGAGAGGGCGTCAACGACGGCAGTGTCACGGCAGATGGAGAGTCAGAGGAGTGCACAGGGCAGTCAGAGGCACATGATGCAGGAGCAAGGGAGAGCAGCGACATCCAAGAGTGTTATAACAACGGTAGCGCCGCGTCAGTTGGGAATCGGGGAAATGTGGCGGAAAAGTCCAGGGGAAAGAAATGATATCTGAGCTCAAGATGACAAGAGTGTTGGGATGCAGTGATAAAGTTATCTGTTTGAACTGTGACACGTGGAAGGGCGTTGTAGTTCGGAAGAGTGGTGTGAAAGGAGCCGGGCGGAGAAGCAGAGAAGGAGACTGCGGCAGTCAATTCTGACATGAATCGGGGAGCCAGGAAAGGTAAACTGAAGGTGAGGAAAGGAAAGATGGGGACGTCAGGGGAGTCAGGACGGGAAGTGGGAAGGGTAGCCGTGGGGTCAAGGGAGAAGATGGCCATCTTGAAGATGGTGTCACGCAGGTCAGCACAGATGTGAGAAAGGAGAGGAAGATCTGAGTCATGACAGAGGACAGTCGGGGTGGAGAAAGGTCAATAACAGGGGAAGTTAGGCGATTTCAGGGGAACGAGTCGTGACACGTTGATGGTAAGGTACGCCGAGGGTGTACTGAGGGGGCTGGGGTTAATACCTACGTCACAGTGCCCTTTACGGTGTGTTGCATAATCGATGCGCCAATGAACAACACGCTTCCCAATGCCCGCATCGCTGCACGGACCTGGTGACGACCGCTGCCTGTTTTAACACGCATTGGCTTCCCGGGATCGATAAGCCGACGGGAGAACCTCGACAGCTCTGGCAAGAGTAAACGAAGAAATGGCAACAGAACACACTGGAGCCTACCAGAAGTGCTCATCACGGCTGTCCTTTCATCGGGCTGAGCTGCGCACCTTACGTTCAGCATGCGCCCCCGTCCAGCCTTACCGATTTCACTAATGTCGATGATCTGTATCTCGGCCATGGTGGTTGACGTCTTCCTCGCACTCGACTGTGGCTGGCCGTGGCCGGTCTGACAGAAGCCGCCTCTCGACTGCGGCTGGCCGTCGCCGGTCTGACAGTAGCCGCCTCTGCGGCGGCGCCGGGCACCGATTTAATCTCCCCCACCAGCCGACGCTGCGGGGGCGGCGCGCGCGCGACCTGCGCCCAGCCCCCCGCCCGCGTCGGCTGTTGACTGGCCGACTGCCCCGCTGCCCCGCCGGCGGGAGGCAGCTGGTCGCGGGAGGCCCGACAGCCAGAGGCGCCGCCAGGAGCGCCACCCGGGGAGTAGCCAATGAAATGTGGGTGTACTCCGTGAATGCCACGGGACCGCTTGACTGAACTTCCCGTCGATGAGGTTCACAGGGCCGGTGAGACTGCTGGGAGGACTGAAGGTGACAGGGACGAGAGATGCGAGAGAATGATGCGAGGAAAACACGACGCTTTCTATCCGGTCGTGGACTTGGCCTGGATAACGTTAAAATCCTTCACTACGTGTCAGACTTCTGCCCGCGCTGCGGCGGAAGCCACCAGAACGGCGATGACAAGCAGACGAGCGGTTAAATCGATGCCGCGGAATGTTCTCGACGGTGCTCACGGTGTGTAATCGATATCCCTCAATAGACGCACGCTACCTCATGGTGTGTAATCGATATCCCTCAATAGACGCACGCTACCCGGACGCTCGTCGCAAACAATCCTGATGACATATTTTTTTATTAGACTGGTGCGCAAGCTTCTATCTTTAAACGATTTTCTCATTGTGCTTCTGTGTTCCTTATTCAGCTGACATAATGTCCTGTGGCTGTTCTGGTTCCCGAGGACAGACGCGTACAACCGTCTTAATTCTTTTGGGGCGTCAACAACCAGACAGAAGGGTGCTTACATCACGTTCCTCGCCGCTTCCTGGCTGCGCCCCTGTCGGCGCGGCGGCGCCCGCAGGTGGAAGCCTCTCCCCATCCCCCCCCCCCCCTCACCAGCCGTGTCAGGTGGTGTTCAGCACCGCAGATGATCCCGGGACCGGCCTCCTGGCTACCGGCCCCCCCGGCGCACACCCCTGTTTATGTCATGGCTTGAAAACACGGCGACCGTTCAGAAATGGGCTTCAGTGGGATAGATGGGGCTCATCATGTCTGTGGGTACAAAAATATATGTTTTAGATCCACAATTCCACATAGTTGGATAAGTGACAGGGAAGCATCGTATATATATATATATATATATATATATTATATATATATATACGCATCACTTATGCACAATGTTATGCGTGAATTTCTTCAGATAAGAATATCTGCTGAAGCATTTTATCCCACATCGACCTACCTGCGATTTCAAGCAGTAAACTAGGCATTTTTTTGCCTGTTCTTTTTGCAGGGAACGACGTCACTTTTGTAGAAATAACGATAGCTCACAACATTCAGGCTTCAAAGGAATCCAAATCAACCAAGGTCATGTTCAGACTGGATCCAGCGTCGGCTCATCCCGAGGTTAGCATAAAGTCGCCGTTTTCTGCACTTGCCTGAGTAACCGTCTCACTGTGGCCCGTGATGGCCTCAGCGCTCAGGACAGGTCCCTCTCAGCACACGGCACGGACCCCTGTTGGTCCTTGGGAGGGACCCCTGTCGGTGCACGGGAGAGACACCTGTCGGTGCACGGGACGGGCCCCTCTCAGCGCACGGCACGGCCCCTGTTGGCCCTCGGGACGGACCCTTGTCGGTGCACGGGACAGGCCCCCGTTGGCCCTCGGGAGGGACCCCTGTTGGTCCCCGGGAGGGGCCCCTGTCGGTGCACAGGACAGGCCCCTCTCAGCACACGGCACGGATGCCTGTTGGCTCTCGGGACGGACCCCTGTCGGCGCACGGGACAGGCCCTGTTGACACAAGAACGGGTCCCTGTCGGCGCACGAGACAGGCCCCTGTTGGCACAAGAACGCGCCCCTGTTGGCGTACGGGACAGGCCCCTGTTGACACAAGAACGGGCCCCTGTCGGCGTACGGGACAGGCCCCTGTTGACACAAAAACGGGCCCCTTTCGGCGCACGGGACAGGCCCTGTTGACACAAGAACGGGCCCCTGTCGGCGCACGGGACAGGCCCTGTTGACACAAGAACGGGCCCCTGACGGCGCACGGGACAGGCCCTGCTTACACAAGAACGGGCTCCTGTCGGCGCACGGGACGGGCCCCTGTTGACACAAGAACGGGCCCCTGTCGGCGCACGGGACAGCCCCTGTTGACACAAGAACGGGCCTCTGTCGGCGCACGGGACAGCCCCTCTCGGCGCGGGACGGACCACTCCCGGCGCGGGACGGACCACTCCCGGGGGGACGGACCACTCCCGGCGCGGGACGGACCACTCTCGGCGCGGGACAGCCCCTCTCGGCGCGGGACGGACCACTCCCGGCGCACTTGCGGGTGAAGACCGGCTCTGCTCGCAGACCGTCGGTGACAATCTCACGGCTGCAGTAATTCCTCTCCTCCATTACAAAGATGGTCCACTTTTCCGACATGAACTTTGCACTTTACTCAACAGGCCGAGGTTTCTGTATGTGCCCGGCTCGGTTTGTGACGCACTGTGTAATCATTGCTGGTTATCTGAGCCGTTCTGGAGCGTTTCGCCGAACAAATTGACTGGATGTATACCTGAAGAGGCTTATCTTGGGTTAAATGGCACGAGTAAGTAAACCAGATTAACATGAGTTGGTTCTGAAGCAATCATCTTCATGGTTTGTATAGATACCGACAGCCCGTTATCATCCCAATGCCCCTACGTGTTTGCGCGATTTACTAGCGGCGTAACGAAGCACTAGCGGCGTAACATCTGTGGAGATGGTGGAGGGGACAGAGGCGCGATTTACACTTCGCTCATTGCCATGGATCGCTGAGGAGTTTATGCTTAAGGCTGTCCGAATGGAGAGAAGTTTCCCTGCCCCTTGAATCCACTGCCCTTAGAAAGAACCACTGAAAATCTGGCTTCTGGCTGGTGGTTCGCAGTTTTCAAAGAACGGGCTATTAACGTTTGAAAACTCAACATCTTCCATCATTTCTCTTAGTCGAAAACCATAACATGAACTTATTGTATAAAATGTGGCACTGAATGGAAAAGTTAATTATGACTTAAAGCCTACTGTGCTTTGACATTATTTGATAGTCACTAGCGTTTGACAACAATCATGGCGTAGACGTATGGGGGAGGGGGCAAGGCGATCATCATCTCCACTGTGCGGGAATGTTTAACATCAATCCTACGGGTAATGAATGGGGAATCGATTTCAAAAGGCTTTCTCCATAGCTATTCGTGAGCCAACTCTGGTTTCACTGTACATGTTGCCTTGCAAACAACTTCAGGCACAGCATTTCTCCAACATCCACTAAGCCTAAGTGTTCTGTGTCAGTTTAGTAGATGCAAAAATTTTGGAGGTTTCATTCAGAATCATGTTTTGGCGCTCTGCGAGCCCAATTTCATCACCCTTCCAACTGGATGTACTATACTATTTTTATCAGATAGCTTTATCAAATAAATTATAATAGCTTTATCAAAAGTGCACATATTAGTGATTGAATGCTTAGCCTCAATGTCAGTTCAGTTCTTTAAATGAATGTTGTAGGCCGGGTAAAACCACTTTGGAGGAGGGAAGGGGCACTTGGCCACGCCTCTGGCGCATGCGCTTGGCGTTTACAGATATGGCGTGTAAAGCTACGCAATCTTTGCGTGCCTAAGCGCCAGGCAGCCAGCGCTGTGAATTTTCACTGTTGGAGCTTCCCTCATCCGCAGGACTTAATTTGCCACCGGGACGTGAGCAAACCCACCTGACGCTCGGCGGCTGACGAAGGGAATGGTGTAGACGCAGGCCCGGCGCTGAACTAGTCGTCCGGACTGGCGTCAGGGAACGCTCACCTACTGAGCAAGGTGTGCCAGCTCGTGCTGCGGAATGCGCGGGACCTGCAGCATGTCCAGACCGAGGGTGTCTTCAGCCGGCAGCAACAAAGTCACTCGACTTAGCAACTCAGCCAGCTGGTCAAGGGTCGATGGAGGTACTATGCTCTGTTTATCGTAAGAAAGAACGGAATTAAAGTGCTGCCAACAATTTTGCACGGTATTTTGCGCGTGGGTAATTATTCGAGTGTGCTGTAGCCCAAATATACCGGCATCATGACCGGCATCACTTGGGTGTTGCGGTAATATTTTACGTGGTGAAAACTTTTTATGTTGTTTTGCTTGTATGTTTCATTGTCTTTTTATATCTTTTATATGTTTTAGTACCTACTTACCAATGAATGAAAAATCTAATCTAGCGTCTGGAAGGATTCTTGGGGCACAAAGCAGGGAAATTGTTTATAATGTGTATCAACATTTTGTCGGAGACCGGGACATGAAGTTGAAGGCGGGAGACGATAACGCCGTCCGGGAGAGTCCATTATTAAGAACAGCAGCTGTAACGGGCGTTGGGAAGACTACAGTCTACCGCATACAACGTGAAGCCCAGAATGGTGCCAGACTGAAGTTGCCAAGCCGATTCCGACCAGCTGCAGCAAGACCAAGGGTGGATCTAGATCCGTTCGATGTTTGCGCGATGAGGAGAATGGTACACCAAATGTACATCGAGGGAAAGCATGTTACTCTGAACACCATCATGGATGCTCTTCACGAACAGCTCGGCGTCACCATGTCTAGATCCGCCGCAAGAAAACACCTACTCGCGAACGGATTTAAGTACCGAAGGATCGACAAGCGCAAGATACTGATCGAGAAACCTCATATTGCAGCAACGAGATGTCAGTTCTTGCGGGAGATGAGGAGGCTGCGTAGAGAAGTTACCGATAGCAAAATCATTTATACCGACGAGACATGGTATAATCAGTACGATATGGAGGACTTGGCGTGGCTGGACGGTAGTCAAATCAACGGACGGAAGAACGCCATTGGAAAAGGAAAACGTTTTATCATAGTCCATGCCGGCTCTTCAGAAGGATTTATACCGGGCGCACTTCCCCACCTCAGGACCGATGGCAAGAACGCCGACTACCATACGTCGATGCACGCCGACTGCTACGATAAGTGGTTCACCTAGTGCCTGTTTCCGAACGTGCCAGAGCACTCTGTGATAATCATAGATAATGCCTCATATAATTCCCGTTTGTGCCAAAAAGTGCCAACTTCTAGCTGGCGTAAAGCGGAAATCCGGGAGTGGTTGCAGCAGGCGGGTGTGACCATCGACGAAGACATGCGGAAGGTAGAGCTGCTGGAGCTGGTCAAGTCCCAGAACCGGAAGAATGAATATTTTCTGGACAACCTTGCTAGAGATCATGGTCATCGGATCGTTCGCCTGCCGCCGTATCACTGCGACTTGAACCCGATAGAGTTAGTGTGGGCAAAGATGAAGCGCGTGATAAGACGGGGGAAATTGAACGGGGCGGATGGAGAAGGTGGAACGGCTGGTGGAGGCAGGTTGTCGCAGCTGTCTCTCCAGAGGACTGGAGTAAGTGCTGTGAGCACGTCAAAAGGCTGGAGCAGCAGTACTGGACGAGTGACGGGCTGCTAGAAGATCTCCCACCGGTTGTCGTAACAACCGATGATAGCAGCGACCTCCGGCACCGACTCCGGCAGCGACAACGATGAATGAGAACAGTATGACACATCGATCATGAGAAATGTTTCCGTTCTCGTTCTTTTGAGCTGACTTCGTAGCGTTTACGTGGGATGTGGCATGTAGTTATGTGTGGGGTGTTTGAGCTGGATGTCTTGTACATACATCTGCAGCTGAATGTTCAGCGTTTTGTTCAATACCTTCAATAAAACTGAGCGAATTAATGTTCTGTGTTTGGGATTTTCCCATGTTATTCATGAAACAGCACCAGTCTGGAGCAATTACTGAATGGAAGTATAACGTAACTTGCTTCAAAGGTAGGCAATGAATTTAGAACCTAGAAATAATTACCAACGAAAATAATCCCAGTGCTAAATATATATATTATATATATATATATATATATATATATATATATTTCGACCAACCATGTGAACATGAAGTTGCTGCAAGCAATGCAAACATCCAAAACTGCTATTGCTTCAAGAGATCCGCAGTGCTGTCCTGCAGGCCTTCCGGCCAATTTTGTTAAGTTTGAAAAAATTTCAGCGTGATGCTCGTGACGAATTGATTGACCAGCTTTAATTCCATTCTTTCTTACGATAAACAGAGCATAGTCGCCAAAGCTGTCGCACTACGCTCCATCAGCCTGAGGACCTTCGCATTCGTCCAGCATGTTATAAACGTCCCCTTCCTTCAAAGAACACACTGGCAAGCTGGATGAGTGGCCTCCAGCTCGTTGTTAGCGTCATATATGCGGCACCCCAGTGCTGAAGCCGGCAGTGAAGACAATGGACCTGTTGAAGCGCATCTTCTGTACCTGCTTGAACGATATGACATGACACAGTTGACAGTCGTATGTCTAAAGCTTGTTGTCAAACGAGCAACACTGTTGTCATTTGATCCGCTGCATTGAATATTAATTGTCAGAAGCTTTTGAACCGGTACTTTCCGGCGGCCATGTTAAACAAAGCTTATGTTTCAAGATACACAGGGGGGCAATTTAGCACGGCTAGTTTGGAACGTATTGAGGAGCAGGCTTACAAAGTAGAGAATTTCTGGTGCCTGGAGCAGTAATTTCACTTCAGAGCATGCCAATGGTCACAACCGAGCTTATCTTATCACATCTCATGCTTGTTTCAACATCTTCAAATGTGGAACATTTCCTTTTAAGGCAATGTTCCACACTTGAAGATGGTCAGGAAAACAGCAGATATGATGAAACACGCTCACTTGTAACTATTCGTAAGCTTTTAAGCGCAAAAGACTGCTCTAGGTAACAAAATTTGTTTTCAGTAAATACGCACCTCAACACGTCATCTTTTGATGGCGTCATGGGACGTTTGTATGACGCCAACTGGGTTACCAAACTGGCCGTGCGAAATTACCACCCAGACAAACGAGCTGACTCACTTGTAGTATTTCAACTTCTCGAGAGGTAACGTGGTAACAGATACGTCTTTTCCCGAACGCATGTGTCGTGCGCGTAGGTTTGGTGCGCATGGCTAATGGAACAGCAAGATTTAAATGGCGTTATTTTGGTGCCATGAATGTCTGTGGGACCTTACCATAGTCTTTCCCAAAAAGCGTGTATATGTTCGCAGGCGTGTTCCTCAGAAAATAGAGGGGTTTAGGTCTGCAGGATGGAAGGGCTGTGAGCTGCATCGAATAATCTTCAAGATGGCTATTTTAGTTCAACTTCCCATACAAGTACGAACCACTCTCGTCAGCTGCGCGTATGATGTTTTTCACTGGTGCGCTCTTGACAGAGATCTTTCCTGACTGGTGCCATGAATGTGGCAGAACTCATAGTCATAATTAAATAACGTATTTTCAGCACCACCTGAATGACGAGCATTCTCTGTTCAGTATTCTCGAGACGCAGCTCAGCTCTTCGAACCGGACATGTGGCCAGGCGTGTGGTAAACTGAGTCCCGGGCCCCAGAAACAGCGTCCGCTATGTGAGTCGCAGAGAACAGCTAGCAGACGTCCTGTCAGGTGGGACTCAGGCTGGTGGGGCAGCTGTCCTGTGGTTTGTCTGGTAAGGTGGGACCGTTCGGGTGTGGTACAGCCTAGAAAGCAGCGGCACATTATTGTCTGTTGCACCGGAATTGCTGCACTGGGTTGATGGAATTAGTTTCCACACCCACCTCTATGGTTTGAAGGAGGTTGTAGTCGTACCGGCATACATTTCTCGTCAGCCTCGTATGGCATGAGCGCACGACTATGGGATATGAGTGCTGTAAGTGGCTGTCTCCTGCTGTTCGAGGACTGTACTCTTTCGATCAAATTGGATTTATCGAAATGATGGTTTTGTGCATAAGTAAATGCAAAGGGCTAACACAAAACACGAAAGCTGGCCGACGCATCGCATCTATTGCTCGCATTCCATCCAACCAAATAAATTATCAAACACATGACACGCACACATGGATATACACAGACAAGCGCATACCATCAAGGACGGGACAAACACTCGTTGCTTAGTCAGGTACAAAGCTGGTTGTATGTCGTCTCCACGTTTTCCTGTTCTAGTTGTAGCTGGGCCCGTAGCCAACCCGCACCTCGTACCTCTCTTCATCATCATCGTCATCAGACACCTCCGGGGTAGGGTACTCGGTGGGCACAGGGGTGGGCAGGTGGTCGCCCTGGGGCTGGAAGCCGTTGGCGTCGGCCACGTACACGACCTTGTAGACGACGCCGTAGGGACCAGTGTAGCTGAACTCCCCGTTGACGTCATAGCTCTCCTCATCGCCATATCCCTCCACCGGCCTGCCAGACTCGGAGGCGTAGATGCCGTTCTCCGTCTCGAAACTGGAATGCAACTAAGCGTTAGGTACCCTACAAGCATGCCATCTCACAGCATGTTGAGGCTCAGGGATGTGGCGTTTTTGCGTTTGCTCCCTTAAAATGACCTTCACAAATCCCACGTTCGTAATGAGCATTTCTCTAATACAAAACTGAGTCACTTACTGTGAGTCGTAGGACTGGTCGTCGCGCAGCTCAGACTCCTGCTTCAGGATCTCGTACACCTTCGGGGCCTCGTAGCTGCGGTCCGGGGCGGCAGCGGCCACGGCCACAACGACGGCGAGCAGAACCTGAAAGAATGGACAAGAATGTGATGAAAGATATCGCATGGGTCACCACACATGGTTAAGCAAGGAGAAGTGTATGTATGTGTATATGCAGTAGTATAGATGGTAGAAGTAGCAGTATAAGCAGACACTACTGTCGTAACGAGGGAATGCTGTATCACTTGCCACCGTTTGCCCCAGTTGGTCGGAACTACATAGCTCCAGATATGCTGGTTGTCCTGAAGGGTATCCTTTTGTGAAGTCAGACGTTATTTACTTTGTTTTAACCATATTTGAAGGGAAACCCCGGCTGCATGCTGCAAAATATTCAATCAACATTTCTTCCATTTTTGAAATGCTTCTGCTCCGGAAGCTGAAATCCCTGTTCCAAGCAAAACCTTACCAGCTTCATGGCTGTCTTGGACCAATTGACTCTGTGGAGAATCTGATGCTGGCCGAGAGACCGCCACTCGACTTTTATACGGCCGACCGGCCGGGGCATTGCGACTGGGCCGGCGGCGACGTTCAGTGGACCCGTCCTCATCTCGGTAACTGGGTCACGGAGAGGGTGTGGTCGGATGATGTACGTACCGACACAGTACGAGGGTAAGTAGATATGTGAATGTGAATGCGAAAAGATTCCAGAGGCCTGACCATTCTCACTGTGTCCCGACGTCCAGACGAACAAATGTGGGATAGCCACAGGCGCATCTCCGAATGCCGGTGCACTCATGCCAATGCCTCCGTTGTATTGAATCGTAGGTAACTGGCCAGCTTGCGGATTTTTTACCAGTTGATTTGGCGCTATGATGGCGCTACTGCCAGCTATTGTTAACATTTTAATGGTACTAAGTCCCAATCGCGGCAGTGGTCGCTTAGCATGCGGCCGCCCAAGTGTTAATTACAAGTTTCCGTTGGTTAGTCTCACCACAGTCTGCATTTCCGCTATCAATGGTGTTCTCACCATGAGGACAGACGTTTGGTACCGATTTAGTGTTTAAAGTGGGCAAACTTCGGGAAATGCAACGGCATTGTGCATAACTGATGACGCAAATTTTGGTGTGTATCAAATCGACAAAAGGATCCTAGTAAATGAAGAGAAAAAAATTGAAACAGGGATTTTCCATTACATTTTACCTCATGGTCTGTCTGGAACAAAATGTACCTGAGCAGAATGGGAATACTGGACTAATGAAATGCAGCCAGTGTCTGAGCTGCTCGCACACCAGGTATGTAAATGTATCACTATCAACCTCAGCATAGTTTTTACTAGAAGGGCGGCATTGCGCGATACGCAATTTGTTTTTTGCATATATCTTTTGGCTTCTGAGGCGATTTACGATTTCCTACGTTGTCTCGTCCTTTGATCATTTTCAACACCTTTACACACCGACTTTATGCACCCTACGTGTGCTCATTTCACTTAAAGCTGACCTAGTTTATATTTGATTTTGATTCGCCTTGTTCAAGTTCTAAAATTACACTACGGCACACTCACGACACCACAGCTGGCTGTCGCCTGATTCAGTGGTATTTTTGCACGCGCCGACGGCGTCCGCTGGTGGGATTTGGTCCTGCTATGACTACAATTATACGCAACGGCGATCGAAGAAGTGGTGGAAACGTTTTTTACGTAATGGGAGACAAATGCTGTTCTACTCAATGCGTCCAGATTTAGATTCACGTGGACAGTGGTTGGTCAAGTTGTTGTTGTTGTTGTTGGTCAAGTTGGTCATGTTGGTCAAGGACGTACGCAAGGATTCCGTGTGCCCTTTTTACTCACGAAACGGAAAGAATGAAAGAAGTATTAACCTTACTGAGCTAACTCAAATTGCAAAAAGCCCGGTCCGGAGATATGATCTACGTTTCCGACGTTATCTTAGCACATAAATGTCGTTTTCAATGTTTTGTGGGTTGAAAGTAAACGACTAGGGTTTGAGGGTACAGATTTCTCACTGAGCACTGGAACTTGGCTACTCTAAGTGTGGGGACGATGGTTTCATTCGCAGCACGGGTTACGGCATCCACGCGGACGAAAAATCGCTAGGGTTACAAATTTCTCTTTTGAATGGAAATGAGGAACAGTCTAAAAATTAGGTGGCCAACGCCGTGTAGCAGCTTTTAAATGAGAGCGGGTTAGTGTCATGGAGAGTAACAACCAGTTACCTCTACGTCTGCATGCGCAAATTTTGTCTGTTCCCAATGCGTTGGGCAACTCTAAAATGCGTCGTGACGGTATTTGCCCACAAGTCTCCGCCGACTTGCATTGCCGCCTACCGCAAGCAAAATCCGATATTTTTGTTGCATTCACATGCTCGGCTATTCTGCTTTTTTCAAGCATTCGATTACAGGTCTTATTTCTGCAATGAGCACGACAACTGTTCAACCGCCTGCACTATGTCGCAGTGATTTGTGTTCCAAATTTGGACTGAATGCATGACATTGGTTGGGAGCCAACTGGAGTATGTTGGTTCTAAAATGTGTGCTCTTTTATGCTAACGCGAATATCTTGACGATCATATTTGTTTTGGCCTCGAAGGCCCCATCGCCAATGAGTTGGCAGTATTTGGGTGACGTTTTCTATTGCGCCCGGCATGCCTGGGTGACCTTGCAATAGTCTGCACGCAATGGTCTGCACGCAATAGTCTGCACAACTTTGCGCCAGTCTAGCTCAGAAAACAGAGGAGTTTCAAGCCTGAAGAAGGGCAGGGCTGTAAATGCACCGAATGGATCTTTAAAATGGCGTGCTCATCTCAAAACCTCATGCAACTGCGGAACACTCTCTTAGAGCCCACTCGTGGCTGGTGCATGTAGCCCTGAGAAATGGGCGTCGGAAGGGTGCAAGATGAAACGGGGAAAGAGTGGCGGATGATTTTAAATCACAGTTCGACGCTTATTGAACCACACGCCGCGTTAGAGACGCACGAGGCGAAGTGAAAAACTCCCCGCTTCCCTTGCGTAGCGGAAATGAATCTAAGTCCTGCAGCTTTCTCTGGTGGTGGAGTCCCAATTATTTATTTCGTTGTGAAATCACAAAGCACTTTGTTCTGTTTAGAATGACGTTTCACATATGAAGATAATGAGTTAAGCACCAGACTTGATTACACTCTGGTTAGTAAAGACGGGTCGTTGATATATCATGGTTTGATTACTTCATTGACCTCTGCACAACATTGATTAAGAGCCAATTGACGTCCCGTCATGTCTGGATGTCGTGCTCATGAGCGTCACACATGAACGACTCGACAGTTATATTTCCCTTGACTTAGGCCAGCGCATGGTTAATGGAACAGCAAGATCTTAAATGGCGTTATTTTGGTGTCATGGATGTCTGTAGGACCTAACATAGTCTTTCCCAAAAAGTGTGCACATGCTTGCAGGCGTGTTCCTCACAAAATAGAGGGGTTTAGGTCTACAGGCTGGCAGGGTTACGAACTGCACCGAATAATCTTCAAGATGACTGTTTCAGTTCAAACCCCCATACAAATACGAACCACTCCCGTCGACTGTGCGCATGATGCTTCTTACTGGTGCCCTCTTGACAGAGATCTTTCCTAACTGGTGTCATGAATGTGGTAGAACTCATGGTTATAATTAAATAACGTATTTTCAGAGCTGCCTGAATGACGAGGATTCTCTGTTCAGTATTCTCGAGGCGCAGCTCAGGTCTTCGAACCGAACATGTGGCCAGGCGTGTGGTAAACTGAGTCCCGGGCCCCAGAAATAGCGTTCGCTATGTGAGTCGCAGAGAACAGCTAGCAGGCGTCCTGTCAGGTGGGACTCAGGCTAGTGGGGCAGCCGTCCTGTGTTTTGTCTGGTATGGTGGGACCGTTCTGGTGTGGTACAGCTTAGAAAGCAGCGGCACATTATTGTCTGTTGGACCGGAATTGCTGTACTGGGTTGATGGGCTTAGTTTCCACACCCACTTCTACGGTTTTGAAGGAGGGTGTAGTTGTTCCGGCATAAATTTATTTGTGTAACCGGCATAAATAATGTAATATGTTACAGGCATAAATAATTTCGCCAGCCTCGTATGGCAAAGGAAACCTTGAGTGCTGGGTAAGTGGGCTAGTTTGCTGCTGTCCGAGGATTGTACATTTTCGATCAAATTAGATTTACTCTGAAATGATGTTTTTTGTGCATAAGTGAATGCCAAAGGGCTAAACACAGAAACACAGAAATGCTGATCAATCGCGTTGCATCTATTGCTCGCATTCCATCCAACCAAATAAATTATCAGACACATGGACACCACACATATCGTGGATATACACAAACAGGGGCATAACCATCAAGGACGGGACAAGCAATCCGTTTGTCCTAGTCAGGGTAAAAAGCTGGTGCATGTCCGTCTCCGCGTTTTCCTGTCCTAGTTGTAGCTGGACCCGTAGCCCAGCCGGCACCGTCGTACCATCTCCTCATCATCATCGTAATCAGACACCTCCGGGGGTAGGGTACTCGGTGGGCACAGGGGTGGGCAGGGTGGTCGCCTCTGGGGCTGGAAGCCGATTGGCAGGTCGGCCAACCCGTAGAACAACCTTGTAGAACGGACGCCCCGTAGGGACCCAGTGTAGCTGCACTCCCCGTTGACGTCATAGCTCTCCTCATCGCCATATCCCTCCACCGGCCTGCCAGACTCGGAGGCGTAGATGCCGTTCCCCGTCTCGAAACTGGAATGCAACTAAGCGTTAGGTACCCTACAAGCATGCCATCTCACAGCATGTTGAGGCTCAGGGATGTGGCGTTTTTGCGTTTGCTCCCTTAAAATGACCTTCACAAATCGCACGTTCGTAATGAGCATTTCTCTAAAGCAAAACTGAGTCACTTACTGTGAGTCGTAGGACTGGTCGTCGCGCAGCTCAGACTCCTGCTTCAGGATCTCGTACACCTTGGGGGCCTCGTAGCTGCGGTCCGGGGCGGCAGCGGCCACGGCCACAACGACAGCGAGCAGAACCTGAAAGAATGGGCAAGAATGTGATGAAAGATATCGCATGGGTCACCACACATGGTTAAGCAAGGAGAAGTGTATGTATGTGTATATGCAGTAGTATAGATGGTATAAGTAGCGGTACAAGCAGACACTACTGTCGTAACGAGGGAATGCTGTATCACTGGCCACCGTTTGCCTCAGGTGGTCGGAACTACATAGCTCCAGATATGCTGGTTGTCCTGAAGGGTGTCCTCTTGTGAAAGTCAGACGTTATTTACTTTGTTTTAACCATATTTGAAGGGAAACCCCAGCTGCATGCTGCAAAATATTCAATCAACATTTCTTCCATTTTTGAAATGCTTCTGCTCCGGAAGCTGAAATCCCTGTTCCAAGCAAAACCTTACCAGCTTCATGGCTGTCTTGGACCAATTGACTCTGTGGAGAATCTGATGCTGGCCGAGACCGCCACTCGACTTTTATAC